GACTCACTCCCCAGCTTCTTTGAAAAGACTTTCTAAATCTGAAGGAGGCTTGGAATCTAAGCAACACAAGTTCATATGAATAGAGAGCAGCTGGTGAAACACCCAGGAAGAGGCAAGAGAGGAAGCTGCAGACAGAGCCTGGTGGTGGGACAGGCAGCAGGGGACTATGCTTCTAGATGGCAGCTTCCTCCTCCCCAAACTAAGGACAACTCTTGAACATGGTAGCCTTTTATTACTGTCTCATGTGTGAAACTGAACCTCCATAGACCCATTCCAGAACTGAATTCAGTTAGATTCTCAGAGACCATTAAGACAAAAAGAGGCCAGAAATAGAACCTGTCTTGTCTTCCTGGAGACATATGTTCTGAAGTATCCTGAGAACAACCCCCAGCCCCCCGTTCTCAAACTGCAAATCTGGGTCATATTATATATTCTTGTATCACTTATTTCAGCATTTTACATGGATGAGAGAAGGCAGGACATGCATCTCAACACTTGCTTTTAATAATGTTTTATCAGTTCATCCACTATTTTTCTAAAATTGGGAGAAGAGGCCTAACATATTATACACAGCCATTAACTCAGTCTGTTTTATTATTTTGATTAGTAGCATTCAATAAATCAAAATAAAGGGGCCTTATGTTCTTTATGTGTATTTCAGGGAACTAAAGAAATATGGATGCTACTCTGCTTTATTGGAGGCAATCCCACATCCTTTTGGTTTTCATATGTGCGTGGCTTCCTAAAATAGAAACAGTCTTATTTGGCTCTATGCTATTTATTTCCACAGAGAAGGAGTCTCAGAACTTTTAAACTATAATAGGTTATCTTGTCTTTTTGCACCTTTATTGTAATGTAGAAAAAAAAGGACATATGAGGGCGAAAGAAAGACTGAGCTTAATTACAAAGTTTAAAAGCAAAAAATTCACATTGTGGATTATTAGAGAAAGAACACTTTATTTCTCTCATTTCAAGGTAAACCATTTATCCAAGAAAAAGCATAAATACTGTGCTTTTTTTTTTTTGGTACCGGGGATCGAACTCAGGTCCTTGCACTTACACAGCAGGTGGCAAAACCACTGAGCTAAATCCCCGGCCCTGCTCTTCCTTTTTAAAGTTACATCCTTCTTTAGGGAAAACTGGAATCGTGGATTCAATGTAAGTTGAATAGTTTACTATTCAAAGCCACTACAGGAACTAAACAAATACATCAATTCATAAACAGTTATGTCAAATGAAAATTCCACAATGAAATGATACTTTTGACACAACACTTATAAACTACAGTTTTTCTAAATCCTTTGGTAGAGAAAAAATAAAGGATGACGAACAAGACAAAGTTGTATTACTCATTTACAATGTTAAATGATCCAGCATCATTACTCTGGAGTAGAGATGACAATGCATAATCAACACACAGAGCAAGGCATCAGTGAAAATGATTAAATATGCCAACGTCTTAATTAAGATACCATCTTACATGTGTTTTGAACATCCCAGTTTGCAAAATACTTACATCCATAAAAATCATTTGACTCTATGTCTTTCAGTTTAAATACAACAAATAAAAAATATGAGTTCGGGGCCAGGGATTAGCTCAGTGAATGTATCACCTGCCTCACCAGCACAAGGTCCCGAGTTCGATCCCCGGTACCAAAAATATATGAGTTCATGTGTACAGGAGAAGCTATGTACTGAAATATTCTCTGGACCAACCTCCCTGAGTAATATTATCTTTAACCCTCAGTTTCATTGTCTGTAAAATGGCAATAACATTTTTTCTACTTCTTAGGACTAATAAGGATTAAACAAATTAATATATTTCAAGTACCATTAGACACTAGATAATCCTTAAGACATGCTGGTTATCAGCAACATCACTGTACGGTACAAAATGAAAGCAGTAAGCCACAGAGCCAGAAACAAAACCTAGACCTCCTTCTTCCAGTTGATGCTGCAGGTACAGAGGAACACTTTTTTTTTTCTCAAGTATTCTGTTTTCTAGACTGAGATAGAACTCTTCACATAAAAAAATTCAGCAGCTCAACACATTTAAAAGCCATATTTAATCTATGTTCATATATATAATTTAAATTGATTATAAAAAATAAATGTTCCATTTTTGGGACAGTACTATACACTAAGGAATAGTTATCTCTGTTGCTATATTTGGAAAACAAAAGTCTTTTGTTTCACTTTTCAAAAGACAGACAAAAAAGGCAAAAATCTATCATACCATATGCTAGCATAATGATATTACCACAAACTCTTTATGAAAATAAATCTACATAAAAAGAATAAGATGATGATGACAACTATATTAGGATTTCCTTTTTCTTCTAGTTTTAACACATTCAGTGTTGTGATGTAACATTTGTAATTTTAAAAACGATTTCTAAAACAAAGAGTATCAAGATTGAAAACTGTATTGGAAGAAGCACTAAGAAATTAATTCTAGAATATAATAAAAATCCAACTTTTTCCCTTCAGCAATTTAGGTGACTGCAATAACATCTTTCACCATGTCTAAAAATAGGGCATGGGTGTGTAAATTTATGAGCTGAAATGCAAAACTGGTACAGGATGTCTAAATCAGAATGTTAAATCATTTAGTACACTCTAGTATAGAAACATCGTAACCATTGATTTCCACACACTTCATATAAACATACAATTTCAATTTGGCCATCTTTATTCTTCTCATAGTGAAGAAATGTGAGCTAGTGAATTTCATTCTCAAATATGCTAACTCACTTCTTAGGAAATTAACCTTGGGCAAGGCAGCTCTCCACTCCAGGCGCCTTCTCTGAACAAGAACTGACCAGAGCATTGATAGTTCCCGGCCTTCTTTCCTCTCCAGCCCATCTGAAGGATTTGCCTTTCCAATTACAGTCATGGGGACAGCAAAAATGGAAACATGGAAAGGGACAGTATCTACAGGTGATTGTGATACACTGCCCTAGAAGCTGTTCTCCAGCTGGTACCCTCCACTACACCTCTGCAAACTTCTCAGAGGTTCCACAGCTCCAAGGCCTGCCACTTTAGATACAGGAAAATTACATCCCAACGATCTGACAGTTATCCGATAACATTACTTTAATAGACTTAAAATAGAAGCCCAAAAATTGGCATACATCTTCATTTGCTGAAACAGGCAAGATTCAAACAAGACTTTATATACCGAAGACGTCAAAAAGGGCATTGTTAACTGTTTTCCTGGCAGACAGTATGTATATGACCTGGAATTGGCTTCTAACCAAGAAGGTTGATAAAGGAGAAAAACTGGAGAAGCAATCAAAATAAACCACTCCTAAGGTGTGAGAAAATAGTTTGAATGTATGATTAATGTGACCTATGTAAGTCAACTGCCTGATACCAGAAAAGAGCAGCCAAAATTAAACACGTGTGTGAAGGTGATCCCCAATTTCTTCTCCAAAATAGCAAATCTGTCACAGGTTCAACATCAGTTTTAAATGTGATATTTTTATACTGGAAAACTCTGTTATAATAACCAATAATTATTAACAAAAATGTGGACATATACCACATTATAAATATAAAAGTCAAATACACTGCCTCAGCATAGTGACTAAGAATCACAAGAATGGTATCTACAAATGGGTGTCCATCTTTCTCTGAATGTCCACTTCCTATGGATGAACTCCACTGTACTTAAGACGTACTACTGTATATACAGTTATATTAAATGGAAAATAAACACCACCCATCGATTTATTATTTATACCAAAAAGAAAAAAAAAAATTGGCTGAGTCTAAAAGTTGCTGTCCTCTGTACCAAAAGATGCCAACAGTGGTGAGTCAGAAATACATGTCTATCAAGGCTCTAACTCTGTTGCACTGACTCTTGGTTAAAAAGCTGATAAAAAATTTTCTTTGGTAAGCATGGTTTCCTTCTGAAATCAATTACAAAACACATTGTCCATTGGTGGCTTAATGTGCTGAAAGTACTCCCAGGTATTCTGTTTCCAACATGGACTAGAACTGTGAAGCCTAAAACTTAGATAAGTGACCAGTCCAATACCTCAACAAGAAATAAAAATGAAGAAAAGGAAATGCCAAAAGCCCAATTTGTAAGATGTTCACCTCTGAAATGGTTGCAATATATAACACAAAGGAAAGAAAATTCCTTAGAGTTGGGATGAATATTTGTTGAATGAATACACACATTTCTTCCTCCCTCTATACCTATGTGTCGAAGCATCAAAACAATTTAATTTGTGGCCGTTTCTGTTGTGTCTCGAACTTCACATATAAGTTTATTATGAGCAAAAAAAAAACCTGTTTGGCCTGACTCACCATGAATCAGAGCCAGGAGGTCATCTTGTTGTGTATCAGCAACTATGTTTTCACTACAGCTATGTGACCTGAAGTGGCAGCAGCCGAGGCACCAAAATAGAAGGAGCAGGAGCCTTCTCCTGGTTTCTCAGTCCCAAATGGTCTTTTCCAGCCCATTCTGGCAACTGAGCAAGAGCCAACCGCACAGCACAGAAAGAACCACCCCGACAGCTCCGAGGAGAAAGGCTGCAGGCCCATCACACCTTTCTTGCCCTCCTGGGGAGCCCGGGGAAGCTATAATATCAAAGAGGACAGGCTCACGAAACATCATGATGAAACCTTTGCATGACAAGGGTCAAAACCAGCCAGATACAGGGCAAACCCTGCCGTGACCCTGAAGCAAAGATTTCCGGAAGGTCTCGACGCGGAGGAGGATCCTTCACCTCGGATCAGGAGGCAGCGCCGGAGCGTTCGCGCAGCGGCCCGGGTCTCCACGCACCCCTGACCCCCGAGACCTGCCCGGCTCCCACTCACCTGTCCAGCGCCCGCGGGCCGGGCAGGAGCCCCAGCCCCCGCCCCCGCCCAGGCCACCCTTCCATCCCGCGCCCTCTGCACACATCTCTGCGATCACAGCCGGGCCAGCACGGGTAGGGAGTCGATGCCGGCCCTGCCGCTCCGGGCCCGGCCCCGGCCCCGGCACTCACTTTCTGAATCCGCTTCAGCGCCATGGGTCAGGGAGGGCAGCGGGGACGCGGACGCGGCTGCAGGGCTCGGGGGCGCGGGTCGTAGCGGGCTCGGCTTGTGGGCTGTTAGGCGGCCTCAGCTCGGTGGGTCCCGGCTCGCTCCGGGCGCCGGTTCCTTTGCTCCGAGTGCGCCCGAGCGCGAGTGTGCGCGAGTGTGCGGGCGGGGACGCCGGCGAGACTCTTTTGTTTCCGCTTTTGCTTCTGGGAAGGAGCCTGCGCCCTCTCCGCAGCGCCCGCCTCGCCTGGCACACTGGGAAGTGTAGTTCAACCGTCCCGGCTGCCCGCACGCGGTCGGGCTGCTCACAGCTGACCTCGCCAACCAGGCTGGGGTCAGACGGGCCAGGGCCTGGAGTTGGTTTCTGCAGTTTGAGTTACTGAAGCGGGCTGCGCGTCGGTACAATGGGGATAACAAATGAGCTCCTGACGTATTTAAAGCCATTTCTAAATTTTCAGTTAATTACTATTTATCCAATAGGAACTACAGTTTCTCTTGTTATTTTTACCTTTACAGATTTCATTGTCTTAAAAACTTAATTGCTTCAGTTTCTCACCCTTCCACGCATTCATAGATTCATACTTATTATGACTCCTTAGTTCTTATTTCAGAGGGGAAGAAAGTACCGTTTCTGTCCAATGCATCATCTGTGCCTTAGAGCTCTGAATCCTGAGCTTCGCTCTCACCAGGTCCTTCCCTTCCTTTGGCAGTGCCTTCCTTTGACAATAGTCTGAGCATGCTTCCCACTCCCTCGACTCTGTGAATCTGTGTAATCATTAAAAGGTATCAACAGGGCCAGGGATTTAACTCAGTGGTTTTGCCCTGCTGCGCAAGTGCAAGGACCCGAGTTCGATCCCCGGTACAAAAAAAAGGTACCAGCAGAAGCAGATTTCACTAAGGTCACACTTGAGCTTCTGATTACTTGATTCAACTGACTCTTCATCCTCCACAATGTTTTTGAACCGTCTGGCAGGGGGGGCACTTTGTGTTTTAAAACGCCCACCACGTCTGGAATCAGATGTACCATCCTTCGTATTGTGGGCCGGGGCAGGTGGGGCTTCCACTTCTCTGACCCTTGCTTCTCCTCACTAGCTCTTTTCAAACATGAGAGTATCCCTGAGTTCCAAGCCTTGACCTCTAGGAGGTAGACTTCGTGCTTTCCTCAGCCCCACCCCCAAATGGGAGGCCGCCCACCAAGTCCAAAGAGTCTGGGTTTTCTAGACCTCACTGCGTTCTGCTTTCTGCTCATCCGACCACCTTCCCCTTCCTTTTTCTAGTTCCCCTTTAGCTTCTCTTATACCCAACTTGGGCTTGTCGCAGCCCTTACTCTACTTTTTGATGCCCTTCCAGCAACTGCTCCTGTTGCTAAAGGCTCAGACCTTTTTGCACTCTACAAAAGAATCTCATTGGTGTACTTCATCTTTTTACTCTAGGCTACAAATTGTTAGCTGATGAGTAAACCATGACTACTCTTAGGCTACGTTACCATCCATGGTCCAGTTGGCTATGGAAAGTTTGGGGGTTTTTTTCTTTTAGTTTTTTGTGGTGCTTGGGATGGAACCCTGGGCCCTTAAGCATGCGAAGCACAAACTTGACTGCCACGCTACATCCACATTCTAGCTGTGGAAAGTTGGGAAGTACTTTTGGACCAAAGGGTTTCTGGAAAATACCAGCAAAGACTTGTCATCTGCAAAAAGGTGTTATTTGGGCCAGCTGGAAGCACTATCACCATGGTCTTCCTTTTTAAAAGACAAGCATAGAAGTGTCTTCATAAGTTAAGTAGAGGACAAGTCTTGGACTCCAGAGTTGCACAGCCATACTGGTAGCATTAGAATATCATGTCAGTAGTGCAGTCATGCTCACTACTGCACTATGGGGAAAGAGTAGTTGTAGGTAACTCACTGCCAGGCAATTCATAAAAACCTCCAGGGCTATTCAGTGGACAATCCTGATCATTATGCCATAAATAGCAAAAAAATATACACTCACATAGGGCTATGGATGGGGCAGTTCTGTTCAAAAGGTGTTGAGGGACCAGGACACTCCGTTAGTTTCTCTGTATTCCAGGATATCCTGCATGCACCACAGGACTTCTACACAGTAACTGACTCGCTGATATCACTCTATTGTTTAAAAACTTTTATTGTATCATGTAACTCCAATGCCTCAGCTTGATCCAAAACACCCTTCACAGTTTATCCCCAAACTCCTCCTTTTCATCTTTGGCTCACACACTATAATTAATTAATGTCACATGTTTTTGCACATTCATTCACTCTGCATAGAATGACCTCCTACCACTCATCTGATAATCTCCTACACCTCCTTCTAGGCCCAACTCTAATGATACATGAGATTCTCCTCAACTTACTTACTGAAGTGGATTTATTAATATTTATATTATTCTTTTAATTCCAGAAGCACAATGTTCATACTTTAGAGATATCAGTTATTTTATTCATGGCTGGTTATCTCATTAAAACATGAATTCTAAGGACATATGAAAGTATCTTACTTTTTTTTTTAAATAAAGTAAAACTTATATACCATGAAATGCCCATGTGTGTGAGTGCACAATTTGATGAGTTTTGACAAATGAATATACTTGTGGAATAATTGAAATCTAGAACATTTCTATCATGAATGTACTTTTGGAATAACTGAATCTAGAACATTTCTGTCATTCACAGAAAATTTCTTGTGACTCCTTCCAGTCACCCTCCACCAAAACAGGAAACTACAGCTCTTATTCCTACCACCACAGAGATTAATCCTGCCTGTTCTTGGATGTCATATAAATGGAAAAACACAGTCCATACTCTTTTATGTTTGAATTCTGCAATTTAACATAATATTTATGATTCATCCATTTTGTTGAATATACCGGTGGCTCATTCTTTTTAATTATTAGTAGTATCCCATGTTGTAAAAATACTATAATTGTTTTTCTCCTCAGGTAAATAAGCATTTGGGTTGTTTCTAGTTTGGGTTTCTTATAATTAAAGCTATTATGAATGTTCTTGTATATGTCTTTGTGTGAACGCACTTTCCAGTTTTCTAGGATAAATACTTAGAATTGAAATTTCTCCATCACAGAATAGTATGTGTGTAACATCATTAACAGCTACAAAATAATTTTCCAAAGTGCTTATGCAACTTTAAAGTTTCAGCAGCACTATATGATTGTTGTTTGTTTTACATCTATGAACATTTAGTGTTGTTGATACCTTAATTTTAGCCATTTTGTTGGATTTTAAGGTAACATTATGGTTTTTCTTTTTATTTGTTAAAGTGCTGAGGATGAAATCCAAGGCTTCCACATACTAGGCAAGTATTCAACCAACCCCAGCCTCACATTATGATATTAATGTGTATTTTCCTGAAGACTACTATCTTAGTCACTTTCTGGTCACTAGAACAAAACACTCAACACCCAAAACTTAAAGGAGGAGAGGTTAATCTTCACTTACGTTTTTAGTCTGTAGTCAACTGGCTCTGAGACAAATTGCATGGCATTGGGAATATGGAGGAAAAGGTGCTCACATCATGGAGGTCAAGAAGCAGAGAGAAGGGAGGAGGTGGAATGAGGGAGATATTATATATCCTTCTATATCACAACCCCAGTGATCTACCTTTAATCAGGCCTCATCTCTTAACAGCACACTCAGCTGCTGAACTCATTAGCGGCTGTATCCCCTGATGAATATAGCACCATGATCCAATCACCTTCCAAAAACCCCACCTCTGAGCACATAAGGCTTTGGGGGGACATTTTCTTTCTAAATTATAACAACTAATGATGCTGTGCATTTTTCATGTGCTTATCAGTCATCTTACGCTTCTTTTTCTCTAAAACTTTTCTTTACCCTTTTAAGTGTGGCTTAATTTACTCCTTTTCTAACTTCTTAAGGTAGAAAGCTACCATGGATTTAAAATGTTTTCTTTTTCTAACAGAAAACTTCAGAGCTGTACCACATTCTACAAATTTTGATATTATATTTTCACTTTTGGATTTAAGTATTTTCCTATTTACATTTGTGCCTGCTTTTTAACTCCCTCCCCAACCCCTGCCATGTGTCATTTAGAAGTGCAATGTCTAATTTCCAAATATTTATTTAGGGCTTTTCTAGATATCATATTGTTATTAATTTCCAACTTATTTATTCTGTGATCAGAGCACATCTTCTGCAAGATTTGATCATTTTAAGTGATTCTTATTTCTTGCCCCCATCATATGGTCTGTGTTGTAGAATATTCCATGTACACTCAAAACTGTGAGTTTTGCAAGGTGTTGTGTATAGATTTCAAGAACTGCCAATCAGATCAGATCTCCTTTATCCTTAGTAATTTTTTATCCACTTTTTTTGATTATCAAAGAAGAGAGCAAAAAAATACAAAAAACCTCCAACTAATTGTAAATTTTCCTTTCTCCTCTTAGTTCTCTCAATTTTTGCTCCATGTATTTTGAAACTATGATAACAGATACACACACACACACACACACACACTTATAAGTATTATGTCTACTCAATGAACTATTTTATCATTTTGAAAAGTTCTTTTTATTTTGAGTAGTATACCTGGTCTTGAAGTCTAATTGTATGATATTAATATAGCCATGTCATCTTTACAATGCTTACTATTTACTTGATATATTTTTTTCTATCTACTTGTTTTCAATCTGTATCTTTTAAAAAATTAGCTGAGGGCTGGAGATTTAGCTCAGTGGTTCTGCCACCTGCCTCGCAAGCACAAGGTCCCAAGTTAGATCCCTGGTACAAAAAAAAAAAATCACACACACACACAAAGTAACTGAAATTTTAACTGATGGCTAAAAACAAAATTTATATATATTAATGGATTTTTGTGTCTTTAAAATTTAAAAGTTTCTTGGGGCTGGGGTATATCTCAGTGGTAGAGTCCTTACCTAGAATATGTGAGTCCTTGAAGTAGACAGAGTTAGATAGATAGATAGATAGATAGATAGATAGATAGATAGATGATAGATAGATAGTCGAGGGAGGAGAAAATAAGTTCCTTAGTTGAAGTGATTAATTTCTTCCCTCCTTCCCATTTTGTTCCTATGCAGCTGCAGTGGCAGGAAGTGTGCCATTCTTCTGCAGCAACTCAGCATGGTCAGTATTCTGAAGAGCACTGGGAAACAAAAGGAGAGCGAAAAGATGTCACTGCCATGCTAAAAACTTGGCTCCTGCTAAGAATACAGTTA